CATAGAACAGCTACATCCATAATTTCCTATTGGCTAGGTGCTACAGCTCACATCTATAATCCCAGCACTTTGGGAGGCTGAGGTGGGAGGATTGCTTGAGCCAGGTGTTTGAGATCAGACTGGGCAACACATTAAGACCCTGGTATCCATCAAAAAATAAATAAGTAGATAGAGAAATAAACAACCAAAAAAAAAATAAATAAGGTAGGCATGGTGACACCTGCTTATAGTCCTCTAACTACTTGAGAGGCTGAGGTGGGAGCATCACTGGAGCTCAGGAGTTTGAGGTTACCCTGTTGTAAATAAATAAATACATAAATAAACAAAAGTTCCCATTGCCTTGTCCTTGTTCTTTGAAACATTGGGGCTTACTCTCACAGAGCTTAAAACTATATTTGTAATGGGCATTTATTTTTTTATGAACCTTCAGTTATCCCTCAAATCAAAGACATACATCAAATATAAATATGTATTATATATATTAATATACATTTCATTCAGCCTGGTAAAAAGTAGGAAAACATTTTCAGGAATTTTCAAAGGCCGATGACTATCAAACATCCAGAGTGTGCATTTCGAATGGCCAAAGCTGTTTATCCAGGAGAAAATTGTCTGTAAACATAAGTACTGCAGGCAGTGGTTCTCAACCCTGCCTACCCATCAAAATCATCTAGGAGAGATTTTGATATCATTGGTCTGAGAGAGAGAGCCCGAACATCAATATTTTTTTTCTTTCTTTCTTTTTTTTTTTTTTTTTTTGAGATAGAATCTCATCCTGTTGCCCTGAGGTTGAGTGCTGTGTCATTATAGCTCACAGTAATCTCAGACTTCTGGGCTCAAGTGATTCTCTTGCCTCAGCTCCCAAGGAGATGGGACTACAGGTACCTGCCTATACAGAAAACATCTGGCTAGTTTTCTATTTTTAGTAGAGAACGGGTCTCACTCTTGCTCAGGCTGGGTCTTGAACTCCTGAGCCCAAGCTATCCACGTGCCTTGGCCTCCCAGAGTGCTAGCATTACAGGCATGAGCCACTGTGCCCGGCCTATTTTTTTTTTTTTTTCTTAACACTCTCTAGGTTGTTCTAATGTGTGCCATCATGCAGACCCACTGGACCAAAGAAATATCTTATCACTTTTTACCAGGAAGTGGGCAAAATAAACAAAGATTGCTGAGAAGGACAAGAAAGCTGTCAGCCTTTAAAGTAGAGCCAACGCAGGGGACGAAGATAGCTTTCCCGATAACACACTCTTACTTGTCCCTTAGCTCCTGCCCTCAGCATCTCTGAGCTCTACTGGAAACCCCAAGGCTTGGAAGACGTAGGAAACGACCATGGACACATGCTGGCCTCGCATGGTTTCACCCACAATCTCCCAGCCATAGTTGACAACGTGATGTGATTTTTATTACACAGTTGCAAGCAAAGGCCTTTATGTTCAGTGGTCAAGAAGAAGAAAAAGAAAGCTACTTTATTTTCAGCATCCTCGGTGAGGAAAGGATGATCTTCTCCCTGTGTTCCAACAGGAAGAGAAAGTTTGCTTGTTCCCAGGGGAGAGCTGGAGGTGCGGGCAGCAGCCACAGTGTCAGAGAGGAAGTGAAAGAGGCTCTGGCCAAGTCTGCCAGGAGCCACTTCATGCCACTCATGGGTGTTCTACCAGGCTGGAGAAAAGTGGTCAAAAAAAGGAGAAACAGGCCCTTCATATCAGACCTACATGCAGCTGGGGGTGATCAGAGTGGGCTCTGAAATCAGCATCTAGGTGAATGCCTGCAGAAATTGTACTCAGGAGGGTGGAGGCGGGGTGTTTCTAAGGAAAAGCATTTTTGTTTTTTATCAGCTTCCCAAAGATTAAGGATGACAACTGGTCCTTAGGTGTTCCCCCTAAGCTGAATACCTATGTGTAACTCACACGCCTCGCCTTGTCAGATTTGTCCAACTGGGCCTCAGCAAATTACAGAAGCACATGACATTTGTTCTTTGTGCTCTGCCTCTGTCTGCTCAGAGCTGCCCATCAGGTATGTGGTTTCCTCTTGTTCAGAAGACCTGGGCATAGCTAATTATCATCAGTTTTGGCCTCTCCTGCAGCTCAGGGCTGTCCCCGCTCCTCCGTCCAAGAAGCACAGCAGTTCTCTTTGCTTCCCTGGATCTCTGTTCTTTCCTTCTTCCCTGTGCTCCCAGACTAATCTGTTTTTCCTTATCTAAATCCAGGTCCCTTGTGCTGCCCTTGACCTCCAAGGTTTAGCAACCATAATATCAATCTCGAGAGGCCCTCCCATCCTCCTGGCTCCTAGGTGCCACATTAACTTGTCACCCTTGGCATTCTGGGCTAATCTTCCAACGTTGATGGGCAAGGGAGTAGTGCCCAGCTCAGCTTTTCCCCGTGGGAGCAGAATCTAGGCCCTGTCTTTTAACCAACACATGTTTCAGAAAGTCCATGAGGAAGCTACACTATTTTAGATAAAACTGTTAGCACTGACTTTGTTTATTGATGCTACACTGTAACCAAAATAAGAAAAAAAACTATCCAACTGACCGAGCATGGTGGTTCACTCCTGTAATCCTAGCACTCCGGGAGGCTGAGAAAGGAGGATCACCTGACATAGGAGTTCTAGCAAGACTCCATCTCTACTAAAAATAGAAAAATTAGCTGGGTGTGGTGGCAGGTGCCTGTAGTCCCAGCTGCTCAGGAGACTGAGGCAGGGGGATCGCTTGAACCTAGGAGTTTGAGGTTGCTGTAACCTAGGCTGAGGCCATGGCACTCTAGCCTGGGCAACAGAGCAAGAATCTGTCTCAAAACACAAACAAAACCAAAAAACTACCCAACTTATTTTAGCTGTGGGAAAAAAAGATCATAATTATCAAGTAACAACAATAAGCTGCTTATTATGCATGCCTAATTTCCATGTACCACAAAAACGGTGTGTGTATCATTAAGTGGGTCAGTTGCCTTTCGTTTCAAAACTGAACTTCATTCAGGTATGTTCCGTCATGAAAGTTTGCTGAACCTTAAGTAGGGCTGTCTGCTTTCAATTTAAAGGAAAAAATTAATTAGAGGAGAATGTTGGCTTAGACATGGAAGCCAGGGAAGGGAGGGGCTCCCTGTATCCTTCAAGCTCAACTGTATATAACCTTAGCCTGGTCAATTTGCTTTACTGGACTTCCTCTCCTCCTTCCCAGAGTAGGGAGTTCTGGGTACTCATTTTCCATTTTTTCTTTACGCAGTAGTTCCCTTCTTTTCTTTTTTTTCCCCCTAAATGAAACATACGCAGAACCCCAAAATACAAAGCAGGTGAAAGAACAGCTGTCTAAGGCTGCCTTTGAAGTATCTTCACAGAACCCTGGGGTTCCAGTTCATCCTATGATCTGTAAATCTGTAAGAATGGTGCTAGGGCTGGCAAGCACACACCCCTGCCTCACAGCTTTGGGGAGATGGCCCAGAATAACATCTACATGGTGCAAGGTGGCATCCTAGGGGTATTCCTAGTGACCTAAATGCTAATCTGAAAGCCCTGGCATCAGCGGAAGGGGGGAAACATTTCTTTCTGAACTTTTTTCTTTTTCTCTGAACTTATGATGGTAGTGGTTAAGATGCATACTTGGAGTTCTCTCACACTCAAAAATACTCAAATGTGATTTTATTTCAAATCCACTTCTCTGGATTGTAAGTGAGGATTCAATGAATTAACTCAGTTATGCTTTGAATTCAAAGAGGCAGTTTTGAAACCTGTGGTTCCCTAAGCTCTAAAATACTAAGCCATTTGTCCTAATGACACAGCAGCCTCTGAACTCTAGAATACCACAGGAATATCACACCACTGCAAATTACTAGGTGGTGCTGAGTCCTCAAAAAAAGGGAAGTGAAACAAAAGCACTGCACTGTTTTTGAGATGCATATTTGATATGGACTGATCAAATAGTTTTTGAGATTATTTTCCTGGAGACACAAGTACTCTGCACACTAACTCAGCCCTTAAGTTTCCTACTTTGCTGTATCTGTGTATAAACACACACACACACAGACACACCTCACACACTGGCCAGGCCTTATACTGAGCTATTTTCTCTTTCACTGAAGCTTCTAAAGACAAGGGCTTTTTGTCATGGTAAGTGCAGGGCCAGGCAACCTTACAAAAGGAGTCATTTAATGCTCAATTTTCCAACTTTCTTATGATTAAAAACTTCTAAGCTCAAATGCTGTTTTTATATTCTAGATTGTTTTCTTTCTCTCTTCCTCCACAAATGTTTAAATTGTCTCTACTCTGCCAGATTCCCTTATTTTCAAACTGACACTGAAAACAGAGAAGCCCCCCCCTTTCCCTTCCTTACCCTAAACTATTTTAAAATCGGGCCCCTCTGACCTTTTTACAACACTCTTCTTGTCTGACACACCAAATGTGAATCTGAAAACCAAGAAGAGGTAAAGGATCTGGGGGGTTGAGAACAGGGGCAGGGACGGGGGAGGTGCTGTATATTTGGCATCAGCTCAGAAATTCAGAAAATGTTTGTCCAACCACCCCAGTTAGGATACCCCTCCCCCAACTGCCTTCTAGCACATTAATAAAAAAAGATGTGAACGGATGAAACTGGAGAGCCCAGGATGGACAGCTAAGACAGTCATAACTCTGTGCTCAGGGAAGCCCACTGATCACCATCCCCCGTCCCCACCCCCCACCCCACCCCTCCCTGTCAACATCCAAAGTTCAGGATCGGGACCTCTGCAGCGTCCACCTCACCCCGTTAGGTGGCCGGTTAAACTTGAAGCAGCACCGCCCATTAACGGCTTCTGTGAGACAAACCGAAGGACTGACACAGACACAGCCTCTGCTCGTCGGGATGGCAGCGCTGTGCACCTTAAGAATCGTATATGTCCGTTGGGGGGGGGGAGGACACGGAGCCCACAGGCCTGGAGCACATTAACTTGTGAAATGAATCTAACACAAGCCAAGAGAGCCCATCTCTCCCTCAAACAAAAAGAAAGGGGGAAAAGGCGAAGAATGCACATTACCATCCTGTCCTGAGCTTTCCAGATACTCCGTCAAGTCACAGCCAAACGCGCTGGCGGCTCCCTTTCGTTTCAGCTTCTGCTTGGCACCCTTGTTCTTCATGAGTTAGTCCCAAAGAGGCTGCCCCTCCGTCTGCCCTCCCCTCTGCTTGGCACCGCGCGTGAGATGGTCTCCGGCTTAGATCACGGGCTGCCCCGCGGCTCTGGGGGGCCGCATCCGCGAACCGGGGGACTCGGGCGGGGACCCGCGCAGGAGCCCGGGGGGCGCGGGCCGGGGCGCGGGGCTCGGGCAGCACGAGCCGGCAGAGCCCGAAATCCACCCCGCGCTCCTCCGGGGCCGCCGTGCCGCAGGCCGTGCAGAGCTGGCAGCTGGGGCCGGCTAGCTGGGGAGTGTCACTTCCTCGCCTGGAGTCCCAGGGACTTTCACAGGCTCCTGCGGTGTCTTCGGGTGTTTTTCCTTCGCTTCAGGGGGAGGGCGAGCTCTCCCCTCCCTCTTCCCAAGTGCCCAGGAGAGGACGCGAGGCGACGGCGACGGGCGAGGGACAGCCCGGGGGCTGCGGTGGGTCCTCTGCCCTGGGCCCGCGGTCCTGCCTTCAGACGGCTTCGGTAAAGCGAAAAACCAGCATCCTGTCCCGCTCGCCCGCCCTCACGCTTTCCTTTTTTCCTGTCTTACAAATCCTAGGATCATCCAGCTCAGGAAACGCTGGAAGGAAGTTAGCTCGGGAGGGGGCGGGGGTGGAAATTTTTGGCAGCTCGGCGCCGCTGTGTGCGCCGGGGCCGGAGGAAGTAGGTGGGTGGGTTGAGGAGCGCGGGGTGGGGAGCGCGCGCTCCTGGGAGCCGTCCCGCGGCTCCGGAGATCACTCGGGGCAGCCCGAGGAAGTCGCCGCTCTCCGCGAGGACCGGCCACCGCGAGCCGCCCGCTTCCTGCGGCGCCAGCGCGGCTCTGGGAAGGGGCGGGAGGAGGTGCGCCGGCTCGGTGCGGCAGGGGTGCTGGACGCGACTCCCCTAAACTTCTGCGCTGCTGTTAGCCCACTGTCACCTATCTTTGACACTTTCTATTTCGGTGCCCGCTTTTCTCCTGCACAAACACTTAAAGTCGTGACAGAAACAAAGACGGGACTCCAGCGGAGAACCCGAGGGGCAGCGGTTCGCCCTGGCCGCTCCTGTCCCTCCCGCCGGTCGCGTACCCCGACCCCCGCTCGCTGCCCTCCCACGCGGAGGGAGGACGCCCTCGGGGAAGAGGGGCTGCGGCTCTGGAACCGCTGCCCAGGAAATCAGATTTCTGGTTACGGATTCACGTTCACACACAGAAAAACACGCGCGCACGCACCCCGCAGAACATTACTGCAACGTTTGCTAGATGGAAGTGATTTGGGTAGGGGAAAAGCCAGCATTTAAGGTGCCTGTGGATAGTCTGTTGGCACAAGGTGGAGAAAGCAGGTCTCAGGTTGTTTTATAATTCCTCTCAAGTTGTTTCAGAAGGGTATGTTTTTTCTTCTCCAGTTAGATTTGAAATTCCTTGATGCCTGTGTACTCAGCACACAGTAAGCACCCAAATTCTTGTGATTTAACCATTTGAGGATTAGATGAAACTTTCTGTATTAAGGGCAGGGACATTCATACAGTTCACATTGCTGACAAAACCTTTATAGGTAGCATCTGAGTTACTGAATCCCTTTAAAGTCACACTTCTCTCCCTGTGTATGGCCATATCAGTTCATGAACTTTGACCTTTGGCCTTTCCTCTGTCAGAGGTTACAACTTCATAGCCAGCCTGCCAAATCTGGCCCATTGATGTTTTTGGTTTGGCTCACAGGATGCTTCAAAATATTTTAAAATTAGAAGCCAACATTAAAGAGTTAAGAGATTTCACATAAGAGATCTAGATTTTTGCCTTCTCTTGTAGAAATGCAAGATCTGGTTACACCACAAATGCATTCTCATATGGCAAGGACCACCGGTGCCAAGCTGCGACAGCCCCCTTGGAGGCACCCTCTGTAGAGAGATGAGCCTTACAGTTGTGCAGCCCCCATAGCCTGTCTTCCCCTCTTTGCACCTGCCTGGCCTCTGGAGCCATGTGAGTTTACACCCCAAACTCTACCGCTGGTCTTTCCTTTTTACCACTTTTTTTAAAAGTATAGTTTTATTATTATTCACACTCTTAGCTTTTACATAGGAACAAGCAGGATAGGGATGTGGAATATTGACACCAGGGATTTCTAGGATTGTTACAGGGCAAGTATCCAGGTCATACTAGACACAAGGCCAGACTGGGGTAAGAATGAGTTGGAGAACTTGTCATTTTATCTGGAACAATCTGTAGGCTTAGACCAAGTCTTCTCTTTCTCCTCCAACTTGACTAAAGATGATGGGGGTAGGGCAGCGCCTGTGGCTCTAAAGGGTAGGGCACCGGCCCCATATGCCTGAGGTGGCAGGTTCAAACCCAGCCCCGGCCAAAAAATGCAAAAAAAAAAAAAAAAA